GGCAGCATGTCCTCAGGGGAGGAGGACTTGGAGCCGTCCGACGTCCCCGGCTCCTTCCTGCCGCCTGCCTCCCGGGGGGCTTTGGCCTTGGACTTCTCCGGCTCCTTCTTGAGGGGGGGTTTCTTGATGCTGCCGGCCTTGGCCAGGGGTTTGCGGGTCTCCGGGACCGGTGTTTTCCGAGCCAGGGTCTTGGCAGGAGCCTTGGCCTCTGCCTTGCTCTCCTTCGCGTCCTTCCGCAGCGTCTCAGCCTTCACCTCCTTCTTCACCACCTTCACCTCCTTCTTGGCCTCCCCCTTCGCCTCGGCCCCCTCGTCCTTCTTCGGCGGCTTCTTCTCCTCTTTCCGGGGTACAGGCTCCTTCTTGGGCAGAGCTTTCTCCTTGCTCAGCTTCGGCTTTGCATCCGCCTTCAGCTTCTCCATCGAAGAGTCCAGCTTGGCTCGAGCATCCTTGGCTTTCTCCTCTTCCGACCCCGCTCTGACCGTCTCCCCCAGGGATTTTGGCTTCTCCTTGGTCCCTGCCTTCACCTCCTTCCTCTCCACCTTCGGAGCCTTCTCCTTCAGCACCGGTGCCCCAGCATCCACCAAGCTGAGCTTGGAAGACGACTTCAGGCTCTCCTTGCTCTCTGCCCTCCTCTGCTTGAGCGGCTTCTCAGGCCCCTTCAAATCATTCTTGGTGACCACGGGATGCTTGAGGAACTCCAGGTGCTTCACCTTCTCCAGCCCCTCCAGGATGCGGCCCTGGGGGGTGCAGCCGGGGAAGAGGACCCGGATGATCTTCTCGGAGGGGCTGACGGGGTGCCAGACGAGCAGGGCGCAGACGGAGGTCAAGCACTGCAGGGGCAAGTCCTGCTCCTTGGGGTAGCTGTTGCCCGACCATTGCTGCAGGAGAAACTCCAGCTCCTTGGTGCCCTTCACGGGGTTCAGGACGTACATGTCCAACCGGCCCACTCCCATCTTCTGGAAGAGGACAGTGGGCTCCGCACGAGGTCCGCTGTCCCGGGCTAGGGGGTTGGGACGAATGCCCAGCTTCTCCAGGTAGTGCAGGGTCAGGGCAGCCTCGTCGCAGCTCTTCAACACCCGGGAGTTACCCTCGATGTCCTTCAGCTTCTCGGAGGCGTTGAGGAAGACGACGCCCAGCTCCGGGGAGATGAGGTTCTTTGCCCAGTCCCCGTTGCCTTGCGAGCTCTGGGATGGATCCTCCTCCAGCTCGGCCAGCTTCCTCTGCAGCAGGCTGTTGACGCCGGGCAGGCTGTCCGTGCCCGCGTGCGTCACCAGGATGGAGTCGATGCGGTCCAGGTGCCGGACCAGCTTCCAGAAGGATGACTTGGGGTTGGAGCCTCCGTTGACCAAGACGTTGAAGCCGTTGACGGCAAAGAAAGCCGAGTCCCCTCTCCCGCCCGGGAAGATATAGCAGCAGGGCTTGGAGAGCTTGAGGAAGCCGACCATGGTGGGGGGCTCGAGGAGGTCAAAGGGGGACTGGGGCTCCAGCGACTCCGAGAGGTACTCCATGAACTCCTCCAG